GTTCCGTTGGTAAATCTTATTTTAAAGCAGTCACAGTGTGCTCAGAGACATTTACCCAATTTTGAGAAGTTTTTCCTCCCTTTTTGCACTGGGTTTGTTGATTTTATATTTTGAATTGAAAGACGTGTGGAATCTGACCTCTGTTTTGGACAAACATGTTTTGGACAAACAGGAAGAACATCCAAAGAATCAGATTCAAAGAGTGTAAGGCAAAGGAGACCTGGGCTGTGTCTGAACCAGTTTTTTTAAGATCTCCAGGATTTCGTCTTTGTTCTGATCCAGGTTGCTTTGTCTTTGCTTTGTCTTCTTCTGTTCTGTCTGAAACATCCAGGTTCATCGCCGCTGCCTCTGTCTCGTTTCTCGACCCTGAGTGTTGCAGGTTTGATGAAGTATTGTACAGTGTTAGTGTAATTTTAACTCTCCTCCAGTGTTTCTCTCTCTGGTCATTATAGAGCTGCATGATGTCATGTGTGGGGCCCCTGAGGGCCCGCACAGTGCACACACACTGTTCTCATTAGCTTTGCTCTGGCTTCGTACAACAGGATCAGAACATGCACACTGCCGGGGAGAAGAACAAAGCTTCATAACTAAACAAATATACTTCTGACTAAAGTGAAAGATGGGTGGATTCATAAAGAATCTCTTACATTTAAGTGACTGACGGACGACGATTTAAGTTCAAGATTCAAGTTTAGAATCCAAACAGTGATGTGCACTGACAAACTGTGCATTATCCTGAATCAAAGAGTTGTAAATGTCAAAATGTGAGGATTGGACAATGTTGCCACAGTTCAATATCATTGTGATTCTTCACATGTTGTGAAAATGCAAGTTTTTTGTAGCAGTTTTTTTTTATGTCATTATTTTTGGTCATGAGCTGTGGGTAATGCCTGAAAGAACGAGATTGCGGATACAAGCGGTCGAAATGAGCTTCCTCCGCAGAGTGGCTGGGCGCTCCCTTAGAGATAGGGTGAGGAGCTCAGTCACACGGGAGGAGCTCGGAGTAGAGCCGCTGCTTCTCCACGTCGAGAGGAACCAGTTGAGGTGGCTCGGGCATCTGTTCAGGATGCCTCCTGGACGCCTCCCTGGGGAGGTGTTCCGGGCACGTCCCACAGGGAGGAGGCCCCGGGGAAGACCCAGGACACGCAGGAGAGACTATGTCTCTCAGCTGGCCTGGGAACGCCTTGGGGTCCCCCAGGACGAGCTGGAGGAGGTGTGTGTGGATAGGGAAGTCTGGGCGTCTCTGCTTAGACTGCTACCCCCGCGACCCGGCAACGGATAAAGCGGAAGAAAATGGATGGATGGATGGATTATTTTTGGTGTAAATTATTTTTATAGCTGACCCATTTGCGCATGCGTCAGCTGCTCGAGCCCCATTCATTTAACGAGTGACTTCAAAAGTCCACAGCGACTAAACTAGACTGGTCCAAAACACCCCCCTCAGCATTGACACACATGTGGAACGGAGCTTTGGGCCAAGAGCCGACTTTTGGTCCATCCTGTAAAGACGTTTTTGAGAGGCAAGTAGATGCTATATGTTAGCATTGGCTAATTCTTATTCCGGGTCCACCCCCATGGGCCCGGGGTGGTATTGCAGCATGTCAGCGCACGTCAATTTGGCCACTTTTGAGCTGGGACCCTCCCCCACTGGTCTGGTTGTACCACACCTTAGTACAAATGACATTTCGTACTAAGGTCTGGATTTGCTCCATTGAGCTCCGTGAACAGGTGGGAGGGGTTAACTCCTTTTGCAAACTGAAACCATTGGATCTGAGTTTACCGTGACGTGTGTAATGCGCCCGAGTGTGTTGTTAGCATTAGCATTTAGCCTAGCTTTAGCCGTCTCCTTTGCTGCTAACGGAGCCCGTGAGGAGTAGCGCCACAATCTTGACCAGCAATTACATTTGCTAAACATTCCTCTTGCTCCTGCTTCAGTTTCTTGATAGAACCAGACCGGATTACTTTAATATCGCATTCTTCGCCACTGCCAAACTACAACCTGCCCGTTCGGCGCAAACTCTTGAGGTCACCGGCACCGACCTACAACACCCGCCTTCCGCGCTCTCTGAGTAGCTGGTCGAAATACGGCCGATTGTATTCGCTAACACAGGGACCAGACCCAGACGTTACATGCAGTGAAATGATGATTGAGCGGAGTGTACGGATGGATAAGGCACGGCTAGTCTGGACCTAATTTCTATCACTTTTAGCAGTGTGCAATGTGCATTTGGCTCGCGCTGTCTCTCTTGAGCAAATCCAGTCCCAGTGCAAAAAAATGACAAAAATCAAGGTACTAAAAGCTTGAATCAAGTGTTTTTATCCTATTTTGAGCACATTTTGACAATCTAAAAACAAGATTTTTAGCAAGCAAAAACGTCTTACTTTATCACGGTACAAGAAAATTCAAGAAATGTCTGCCTTAGAATGATAAATGAATTACACCAGCACTTCAAGTTAGACTAAACGGCTTTGTCCCATCGGAGGATCTTGTTTTAGGAAAGTCAGAATGTGTCAGAATTTTTTAGCATTTAATAGCTCATATTTTGTATTTTTTGCAGTGTGATATCAGTGGAGTTTGGAGGTGGGGGCTGCAGCTTCAGAGCCTTCTTTGTGTCTAAGTTTCAAGTTCAGTGTTTGAGAAACCGCCTCCTTATTTTCCACAGCTCTCTCCAAAAAGATCTGTAGATGGAAAGAGAGGGACGCAGTTTCACGCTCCAGCTCAGGAAAAGTGAGACGGCACGAAACTACGAAGAGACAAAACTAAAACACTTCTTTGTGACTCGGAAAAAATATACATCTTAAATGCAATTGTTGTAATATGTTTTCAATCAATAAATCAAATTTCTCAGAAACTCAGTCTGATGAATAAACATCGAGGCTCAAGAGCAGAGATTAAAACAAACATATATTTCAAACAGACATTATTGGAGAGACACGGTACATGCGGAAAACGTGCAGATCTTTTTGATGGGACATTGCTACTCAGACCAGCCTCGTCCAATGTGCCGTGTGGGTGGGGGAGGCCTAATTTGGTTTTAAATAATCTTGCACTTTTTGTGAATGACAAAAACCTTATTTCACATCTTACTTATTACAGTATGTGTCTCCTGTAAAAACTACCAGGGATTTATACAGGAAAATCACAGAGACTTTTCTCCAGAGGCAGCAACACAGCTCGGTTCACTTTGTGACGCGGCACGAGCTGCAGAAGTCCCGCCTCCAGGAGGTGATTGACAGGTGAGAAAGATCTGTAAGTACTGTGCTAACTTATACTTCTGTTAAAGTTCCCATAATCCTCCCATATTCACCTTCAAATAAAAAATAGACTCTGATTCTGGGTCGAGGACACCGGGCTCTGAGTGACCCTCACACTGTGTTTACACCGAGTGGGAAGGAGGAGGCGGGTTGTGGCATGAGCTCTATCCCTGCACGGGTGTGAGGAGGTGGGTCACAGGCCGAGAGCAGAGAGGGTCAGGGTCAGATTGTTTTAAGAGATGGATAAGTGTCTGTTTTAAGTGTTGTAAGAAATGACGTGTTTAGGATGGACTGGAAAAAGCAGAATCTGAAACTTTTAATTTTTATTTTATTGTGTTTTGAAAAGTCAGGGACCTCAGCTTTAACATAAAGTTTCACCTGAAGATGTGAACAAAGAGAATCACACAAACATTTAAAAAAACTACAGTACTTTTCTTCCACAGGAGAAAATATGACGACCGTACTTTCTGAACTATAAGGTGCACCTGTGTATGGTCCAAATAAAGCCTGCACCTGTGTGTGGTCCACATAAAGCCTGCACCTGTGTATGGTCCACATAAAGCCTGCACCTGTATATGGTCCACATAAAGCCTGCACCTATGTATGGTCCACATAAAGCCTGCACCTATGTGGTCCACATAAAGGCTGCATCTGTGTATGGTCCACATAAAGGCTGCACCTGTGTATGGTCCACATAAAGCCTGCACCTGTATATGGTCCACATAAAGCCTGCACCTATGTATGGTCCACATAAAGCCTGCACCTGTGTATGGTCCACATAAAGCCTGCACCTGTGTGGTCCACATAAAGGCTGCATCTGTGTATGGTCCACATAAAGGCTGCACCTGTATATGGTCCACATAAAGCCTGCACCTGTATATGGTCCACATAAAGCCTGCACCTGTATATGGTCCACCTAAAACCTGTACCTGTGTATGGTCCACATAAAGGCTGCACCTGTATATGGTCCACATAAAGCCTGCACCTGTATATGGTCCACATAAAGCCTGCACCTGTATATGGTCCACATAAAGCCTACACCTGTATATGGTCCACATAAAGCCTGCACCTGTGTATGGTCCACATAAAGCCTGCACCTGTGTATGGTCCACATAAAGCCTGCACCTGTATACAAGCCGCAGGTTTCCATGTTGTAATGTAGCAGAGGGGTAAGAGTCAAAATAATAAGTCCAGAAACTCTGACAACTTTACCACAATAAAAACACACACATTAGCGTTATATACGTGGTCATACCAGCATGAAAGCCAGATCCTGTCAGACCTCTAAAGTTAAGCAGGGCAGGGCCTGGTTAGTACTGTGATGGGAGACCTCTGGGAACAGCAAGTGCCACAGTGGGGCGACTGCGGCTGTAAAGTGCCAATCTGCTGTTGTGTCCTTAGGCAAGACACTTCTCCCACATTAGAATGAGTCTGGTGTGTGTGTGAATGGTTGGTGGAGATGGGAGGGGCCGATGGTACTGGTTTCCTAGCTTCTGTCAATGTGCCCCAGGGCAGCTGCGGCTACAGTAGTAGTTATCACCACTGTGTTTGGAGTGAATTAATACTGTCATGTGAACCGTCTTTGAGTGTCCAGAAAAGCGCTGTATAAAACTAATGGATTATTATTATTATTGTTGTTATTATCATTATTAGGAGCCGCGGGGATCACAGATAAAAGCAGCGTCTTATAGTCCAGAAATGACAGTAGTTGTGGTCGTGGTGTGGGCGGAGTCTGATGCAGAGTCTCACAGCTGCTGCTCCTCAAACATGATCTGAGCGTACACGGTTCCGCTGCGGGACGCCATGCCCTCCGGAGGCAGCGGTCGCACCAGGTCCAGCTCCGCGTACGTCAGGTTCTCCTCCACAATCTTTGGCTGCGAAAAACACAAACAATATGTACCTTTGTTACAGATGAATTGATATGTAGCTTGTAAAAAATTAAAAGCATCTAAGAATCAGTCTAAATCAGTCTCAAAACCACGCAGCCCGCAGAAAGTTTTTCTGAGGCCCCCTAGTGGACGTCACTTTATAATGCAGGGGTGTCCAAATATTTTTGTATCGAGCCACTTTAGTTCACCAGACGAGTCCAGGGGCCGACGCCACGGACTGAAAAACTGTCTTGGCTGGCATCAGGCTGTTCTGAGCTTTAAAAACATCTATAAAGGAGCTGAAGTTGGCTGAATGACACATGTTTACCATCTCACCAGCTACAGTATCACTAGTCACAACACGTCTATAATGGCTGAGCTGAAGTTGGATGGATGACAGTGAACTTGTGTTTATGATCTCAAAGACTACTTTAGATTAGAAAGGCAGAGGGCAACATAAAATTACACTGAGGGCCGCAATTGGCCCCCGGGCCTGAGTTTGGACATGCCTGCTTTAATGTGTGGCCCCCACTGAAACACTGTGCGGACATGTTAGACATCGTTTTAAAGATAATTTTATCAAGAAAAAAAAACAGCATTTCATTTCCCATAAACATTGAACCTTAAATGCAATCATCAATAATTCAAAGTAAACTTTATTAAACCCAGTTGACAAAACAAAGCCTCATTGTGTCCAGTTTTGTTTAAATCTACATATATATTAATTTATATCAAACTTATATTCAATAAAAAGTAATTATTTTGTCAAAACTCCAGTCAGATACAAACAATGAACTGCAAAACTTTCCACAAACGCTTAATTCTGCACAATTTGATGCACATATCCCTTAATGCGTCCGGCTTCACCAGACTCCACCTCATGCAGCTCCAGGCACACTGAGTTTGAGTCCCAAAAACAAAACCTATAGTCTTGATGAGTGCCGGAGGAGTGGAGGCCGGAGGAGTGGAGGCCGGAGGAGGCGGCGCTCGTGGTGAGAAAAGAAGGCGTCTACATTCTCTACAGCGTGAGAACTATTTATTGTTTGCAACACTATTAAGACTAATGAGAGGGTCGAGGGCGCTGTAGCCTGGAAGCATGTCGTCAAATCATAATAAAGTATCAAGTAACCAGACAAAGCAGGCCCAATGGCTCCAGCGGCGGACCAGGCCTCGTGCAGAGACCGGCGGTTTGGTTGATGTGGCTGGGGTTTGGTCAAAGTCACATGACACGGTCCAGAAGTTTTGGCGCTGTCTTTTAACCACAACCAACTCATTTAGTCCATGATCTGTTGGGGCCACGACAGGACCTCGTTTTACCACCATTTCTGAATTGGAAAAATGTGTCTCGAAGTATTCCAAGACCTCAGAAATGTCGGCCCTTCAAATGTGTCAAGTCAAAAAGACGGATGACAATGAGAAGAACAATCCACCGCAACATTTCACAATTTGTTTAGTGTCATTGGTTTCAACGGAAATATCTTTCTCTGTGATTCTCAAGTTTGACAATAATGAATCTCTGTAAAAGGCCCATTGTCTGTTTAAGGGCCACTGTCTGTTTAAGGGCCACTGTCTGTTTAAGGACAACTGTCTGTTTAAGGGCAACTGTCTGTTTAAGGGCAACTGTCTGTTTAAGGGCAACTGTCTGTTTAAGGGCCACTGTCTGTTTAAGGGCCACTGTCTGTTTAAGGGCCACTGTCTGTTTAAGGGCCACTGTCTGTTTAAGGGCCACTGTCTGTTTAAGGGCCACTGTCTGTTTAAGGGCCACTGTCTGTTTAAGGGCCACTGTCTGTTTAAGGGCCACTGTCTGTTTAAGGGCCACTGTCTGTTTAAGGACAACTGTCTGTTTAAGGGCAACTGTCTGTTTAAGGGCAACTGTCTGTTTAAGGGCCACTGTCTGTTTAAGGGCCACTGTCTGTTTAAGGGCCACTGTCTGTTTAAGGGCCACTGTCTGTTTAAGGGCCACTGTTTGTTTAAGGGCCACTGTCTGTTTAAGGGCCACTGTCTGTTTAAGGGCCACTGTTTGTTTAAGGGTCACTGTCTGTTTAAGGGCCACTGTTTGTTTAAAGGCCACTGTCTGTTTAAGGGTCACTGTCTGTTTAAGGGCCACTGTTTGTTTAAGGGCCACTGTCTGTTTAAGGGCCACTGTCTGTTTAAGGGCCACTGTCTGGGCCACTGTCTGTTTAAGGGCCACTGTCTGTTTAAGGGCCACTGTCTGTAGGGATATTTGACCTATATTTTAATTAATCAACATCCGAGACATGTTAGTGCCATATGAACAAACTCTGACTCTGAGGATGCACAGGGACTGGCCTCCTGCTGCTGGTCTCAGAGTCAGGACTAAACATGGGGAGGCAGTCTTCCTGAAAATGTGAGACAGGCTTCCACTCTGGAAATGATCAAATCCAGGTTGAAAACACTACTCTTTAGCTGCAAACAACTCAGGGATTGTAGCTTTACTCTTTTTAACCCTTTAATGGTTTCCTAAACTATTTGGCAGATCACCTTTTGAGTTTTACCATCAACTATTTGGTAAAGGCCTATATAAAAAGGATAATAATAATAAAATGATAATAGTAATACATGCTTTTTACTTGTTAGTTGGATCTTAGAAAATCCAAAAAAGAAAAAATGACATTGCTTTGTTCAAGAAGTGAATTTTAAAGGGTTAATCTTCTGTTTCTATTTTGTTTTGTTCAGCACTTTGAGTTGGCTTGTGTATCATCCGTTCTATACAAATAAACTTGCCTTGCATATTGCCACTATAGGGCAACCATATCAGTAGAAAAACCACATTCTACACAGAAAGCCCTGATCCAGTCCATCCAAAGACCCAGTGAAAACATGTCAAATGAAGCGATGTGGCTGAAGGCTGAAATGTGAAGTCAATACTCACCAACAAAAGCTTCCGCGGTTGTGGTTTTAAAAGTTTGGGTTTTCTCGTTTTGTCTCCAATCGGGACTGAGGAAACAAAGCAAAGCAGAAAAAAATGAGCTTGATGTTTATTTTTGAGAACCAGACCTCAGCCAAAGCGAGCGAGACTGTCAGACGGAGATCCCAGCGGACTCTCTAAAGTCAACATGTGACGGTGCAGCTCTGACATCGGCTAAAACATATCTCTGTGTTTAGCTTCAGAGTTCAGAAACGGCCTGTTGCTTTCCTCGGGGTAATTATAGGCTGAAGCTGGTGTGGCTCTGGGTTGTTATGGGCAAGAATGTTTTCACAGTCAATGAAAGGAAACATCTCTGGAAGTCTAGAGTTGACACCGGGATGTGGAGCGGACTGGAGCTGGAAGGGACGGTGGGATATGTCCAAGAAGATTCTAAAAGGTTTCTGTGGTGTATGACCCGTGTATAATTATTTGAATAGAAATGTTAATATATGTATATTTTTTTTTTTTTACTGAATCCAATTTTATTATTTTCTTACAGTGACTTCAGATTCCGAGCAGCAAACACATATCTTAAATGCGTCCGGTCACACAAACAAATGGTAGATAAAAAGTTGGATTTTGTCGTTGAGAAAAAAACAGTTTTATTGTTGTGTTATTCTTTGATTTATGTAATTTATTTCATTAGCCTGGTCTTACCATACTATCGCACACATTTCATTTTGTTAAGTGGGAGGGGTTAACTCCTTCTGAAGATTGAAACCATTGGATCTGAGTTTACTGTGATGTATGTAATGAGCCCGAGTGAGTGAGGCATTTAGCAAGTAGCCTAGCTTTAGCATTTAGCCTTGCTTTAGCCATCTTCTTTGCCACTAACGGAGCCCGTGGGGAGTAGAGCCACAACAATAACATTTACTAAACATTCCTCTTGCTCCAGCTTCAGTTTCTTGATATTTGGATTGAACCAGAACAGATTATTTTACTATCGCATTCTCCGCCAAACTACAACCAGCAACAGCACAAACTCTAGACGTCACTGACACCGACCTACAACACCCGCCTCCCCCGCTCTCTGATTGGTCGGAGGGGATTCAACCGAGGAAACTGCAGCCACTAGGATCAGACCCAGACGTACATGTAGGAAATGATCATGGACCAGAGTTTACACATGGTAAGACCAGACGTACATGTAGGAAATGATCATGGACCAGAGTTTACACATGGTAAGACCAGACGTACATGTAGGAAATGACCATGGACCAGAGTTCACACATGGTAAGACCAGACGTACATGTAGGAAATGATCATGGACCAGAGTTTACACATGGTAAGACCAGACGTACATGTAGGAAATGATCATGGACCAGAGTTTACACATGGTAAGACCAGACTAGAGCGTCATAGGAGTTATTTACTTTCCTGACTTCTTTTATTTTACTAAATATCTTGTACCAAAACATAATTATCTGAAGAACTGAACGTATTTTTCCTGACCCACATTTTTACAACAGTATCTATATCTGAAGAAGGCGCTTTTAATCCCTTTAATATTAAAATCATTTAAAAAACGTTGTCTACTTTAGTTCCATCTGGAAGGACTCTATAATAACCCGGGTTTCAGGTGCGATCGCTGCTGCCTCCCTCTTCATCCCTCAACATTACTATTGAAAAGTAGATTCTGGAAGTTCTCAGCTCCATCCACATTTTAGATAAATTCCCAAGATCATGTGGCGCAGAGTCGAGCGCAGGCGTGAAAGTGACGGATGCTTCACCTTTGGCTGGTATTTCTGGGGGAGTCTCCTCTCGGTGATGTCTGCTTTTCTTCTTGCGGTATTTTCTTTGTTTTTTGGGCAGAGCCGGAGACAGACTGATGACACTGGTGACCGTCTCTCCCGAGCTGGAAAACACACATTCAAGACTTTACAGTTTGCACATTTATAGTATCGCTTCATATTTGCACATGAATTCTGTGTTTTCTGTCAGTGAAGTCCAAACACGACAATAGACAATTACATGGTTATACACACTGCTAATCAATATTTACATGAGATTCATACCAATAAAGAATAAAATAAAGTAGGCAGGGAGACTTATCTGCTTTAACCCTTTATTTGTCGCTCCTTGAAAACAGCGATGTACTTTTGTGATTTTCTATGATGTATAATTTATTTTCTTTTGGTATTTTTTTAAACTCTTATTATACTATTATTATAGGCCTTTACTAAATGGTTCAAAACTTTAAGTAGATATAGTGACTCGAAAGGTGATCTACCAAATGTAAAAGCTGCATTACCTGACTTTTTTAAAGAGTTAAATCCAATCAATTTTTTAGCAGTGCATTGGGATAAACGTCCTTTTAAAGAATAAGTAGCGCAGGTTTGTGCTGGCATGTCATTTTATTTTAGATCAAGTTTTTGTGCAACAAGGAAGAGAATGTGTTTCGGGTCCAGATTGTGACCAATCACAGCGGACCACTGACCCCCACTTTCTTGAGAAAAGCCACAGTCTGTGTTTAGCACAGACAGCTGAGGTAAACAAGCGAAAACAGCCAAAAGAAAGTCTCGTTCCTCCGCACTTCCCGATTCTATCATTCTATGGTCACTCCATCCACGTGCAAAGGTGCCATCCATATTGTGAGACATGAGCTCCGTATATAATTAGAATGTGAGCACAGGCTGAGGGGGAGGGGGTAGTGGGGGGCAAAAGCTCAGTGAGTGCGAGGAGGGCGAGCAGAAAGAGCGAGGCCAGCGCTCACATTCGAACATTTCACAAAGTGGGTTTTTGGTCTCAAAACATGTAATCTGAAACGAAAGAAGCTTATTTTGGTCTGATTTCTTCACAATACATTTTATTATTATATTAAGACTCTGAAAAAGCAGATCTATAGATGTGTCAGAAGCCAAAGATATGTGTGAGACCAACGATTGTTTTAAGTAAAATGTGTTTTTTTTATTAAACAGTTATTTTTATTGGTTTTAAAGTTAGGTTTTCCAGATTTCAAAGTTCACCGTTGATATTTAGTCAACATTGTTCACACATTACATTAAAAATTCATTATTAGATTGTTCCCTGCCATTAAAATGCAATTAGCCCCTGGGAGATTTCGTTAAAGTGAGCTAAAAGTACAGAAACAATTCTCCCTGTGAGATGGAAGAACAATCCAAGTGCTTTATTGTGTGTCGCTGCATCATCTTCTGTGTTTGGTTTTGATTGACAGGTGTCCAAATGGATCAGCAAACAGTGAGGAGAACAATGGCATCTTGGTGGTGACCACGTTCCCCCCACTGGAGACTGGATGGATCCATCTGTGGGCTCCTCCCTCAAGGACCACCCTCAGGGGCCCGAGACCAACGCTTATCTGGTCATATTCTCAGACGAGGGCCCCGGCGATGCCATCCACAAGTCATACTTAGGTAACAGGAAACTCTTCTATCAAAAATATTACACATTTATAACTTTACATGAACTCAATGAATGTAAAAAGAAATATTAACATCTTATTAACCGAGCGCGAGGTCTGTATGGAGAAACATCAGACCGCGGCCTTAATGCAAAAAGGCCAAGGTCTAATATTTCTCTGCACAGACCGAGCAAGCAAGGTTAATAAATGTTTTATTATATGACTCTTGTCTGTGTCTTTACCAATGTCCAACTTGGTTTTGTGTGATACTCGCTGCGGACAGATTGTCCATGGTAACGGTCCGAGATGGGAAAATATCAGACCGGTAATCAACCAATCAGAGCGCGCGTACGGTCCAAGTCATATAATGATACTGTATGTCTTATTTTATGTTTAGGGTTCAGAAGGTTCTTTTAATAAGACAAAGGTTTTAAGAAGCTAGTTCTGCTTCTGCGGAAGACTTCCACCTTCCTCCCAGAAATGGAGAAGATGTGTGAAAGTGTGACGTGTCTCTGATCAGCTGTTGTTACCTTGGAGGTGATCTGGGGCGTGGTCCGTCTGACGTCCAGTAACTACAAGAGGCAATTGAGATCAAACCACACATCACACCATCTCGTGGGTCTCCAGAGACCCTCTGATCCGTCTGAAAACAGAAGCCCAAACATGTGGTAATTAAGCAGAACTAGCTTCTTTACACTTTTGTCTTTTCTTTATACTTTTGAACCTTCTCAGCCTCAAACTCGAACTCACCGTAAACAACCTGGCTCTTTCCAGACTTAGCCAAAGATGCAATGGCAAATTCAGAACAGCAGCGGCAGCACAGCAGGCACCGGCGGGCTGCTCTGGAGGGCCCCCACACGGCGGCGCACACCTGCCAGCGGGTGCCGCTCTTCGTGGACTTCGAGGAGATCGGCTGGTCCGGCTGGATCATCTCCCCCAGAGGGTACAACGCCCACCACTGCAGAGGCTCCTGTCCCTTCCCTCTGGGGGGCAGCCTCCGGGCCACTAACCACGCCACGGTGCGGTCCATCATGCATGCCCTGAAGCTGTCCAGTGAGGAGGTGGGCGCCCCCTGCTGTGTGCCGGACAAACTGCAGTCCATCAGCCTGCTCTACTTCGACGACGACGAGAACGTGGTGCTGAAGCAGTACGACAACATGGTGGCTCTGAGCTGCGCCTGCCACTGACACACGCTGCACTTTGACTCTGGGACTATGTGGGCTGAGCAGGCGGTGACTGCTGGTACCTGCGGGAATGTACATATTGTATATTTAAGATGATAATTTATTCACCATGAGACAATATTTTTTATGCCAGTAATCATAATATTACAGTTTATGTTCTGCTTTTGTACATATTTCAACTCGAGTACTCCTATAATTATGCAACAACTAGAACTCCCAGATCTGTCACTCACCTTCACTCACTTTAGGTAAGTGCGCTAAAACTGCTCTGGGAGTTATAGTGTTAAAGGCCCCATATGTAATAACATCTCATCTTAAATATGTGTCCAAAGAAACGTTTTGTTTCTTTCACGTGTATCATTTCATTAGATCCGGAATTACTTCTAAATAAAAATACAATTCACATCCACACTATGTTCCCGATGGATACTGTGTTTGTTTACATACACTTTGTGGACACTCAAAGCTGCCCTGGGGCACACTGACAGGAGCGAGGCAACACTACCACAGTCTGGCACTTTACAGCCGCTCCACAGCGCCACCTGGTGTTCCCAGTGCTCTCCCATCACAACAACATTCATAAACTAAAAATTAGCAACACATATTTGTTTGCCTGAAAGCAGATGTAAAAATAAGAAATGCGTAATACACACTGTTTGTACTGGTTCAATCTAAACCCCAGCAGGTGGATTACCTCAGTAATCAGTGCTGAGGAACTACATGTGTCACAGGCAGAAGATTCCAGAAACAAGAGTGTGATTGTGAGGACTTTAAAAGATCACTAATGGTACACGTTACATATGGTTCCTTTATAATAAAGTAAATTCATGATTTTAATATGTGTAAAATAAAAGACAACAGTGTTCTGTAACAACAGTTGTTTTTATTGGAATGGATCACAGACACAAAAACAGCCCTGCTTTAATCTACTCAATGCAAGAAACCGACAGAAATATTCCCAAATTCATACTTTTCAGAACATATTGCAAAATCCCATTCATTTATTTTTGATCTAAAATGCACTTTCAATTTGAAGTTAATCTCAAACATTTTAAAATGTCTTCCAAACCTGACTTAATAAATACATAATTGTCAACTTCCTCCAGTATATTTGTCAAAACAGCCTGTTTTGTGGAAAAAAGTACCAAGGCTAAAAACCTTATAAGAAAAGTGTCAAAGACAAATACCTGAAAAAGGTGAAGTTCACCGACGCGGCCACAGCGGTGGCAAATACACATTGGAGCATCAATAAATTAGCACATATACAGATAACAGCACTTTCCTTCTCTTTACATATGTACATGGAATATCCATGTCCTTAATATCTTACACAGATCATTCCTCAAGGATTGACATTTGACGCTAATAAAAAAGGTCACGATAATTGCAGATCTCACAAAACAGAGCCACTGTTGAAGCAAGCAAAGCAATGCGTTCACACGTTTGAGTAAAAACATGATGGTTTTAGTTGAGTGTACTCCGACTGGTATCAAATGGTAAATATTTGTAAAATATACAAAACTGATTGAATAAGTGTCCTTTGAAACATTAGCTTGGGCAGTCCAGCTCCTCAGTGCCTAAGAACTCTCCTAACACGTGCTCGTGCTGCCCAAACACCGGCTCCAAGTACGGGTGGCCCTCAGAATGCCTGATCAGCTGCTCAGGGGCCGCCTGAGTCATGGGGGACAGAGACACCGGGACAAAGCTGTGGTACACCATGAGGGGGGGGCTCAGAACCTCCATGGGAGAGGGCTGTGGTATAGCTCCCTCTGGAGGCTGCACTGGGAGCTGCACATACGTCCCCGTCTCTGGATCAAAGAAGGTTTTGGTTTTGACTTGCACCGGCATGTCCACAAAGAAATACTGCCCTGAGTCTGGATCCTGGAGGAGCTTCCTCTGTGTGATGGGGAAGGATGAGGCCACGATGGCGTGCTCGATGCTGGACTGGCGTGAGAGCTGGCTGCTGAGGCTGGACTGACGAGACAGGTTCGCCGGGTGGAGAACAGCTGTGCTCTGGGCGTCAATGCTGTGGCTCCTTCGCAGCGGGTTTTCCTTGCTCTGCCTCTCCTTCTGCCTGCCTCTCTGCTGCAGCTCATCCACGATCGATTTCTCAATTCTCTGGCTTCTCGGATCCACTCTGTCATAGTTAGACATGTCAGCACTGAGCCTGCGTTGCACTTTGCTCTCCATGTACCTGTCAGTGCTCATGGAGCGCTGGAACGGCCTCTCGGAGCTCGTCTTGTCTCCGGCATAGTTCTTGTACACAGGCACATTGCTAATGATCCGGTCACTGCTGTAGTGCCTGTGCTCTGGCTTCTCCCTCGCTCTCCGATCACTGCTGCGCCCCTGCCTCTCACTGAGACCAACAAATCCATCTCTGTGCCTCGAGCTTTCTCCAGATTCAACACTTTGTCTTTGAGCGGGTTGTTCTATCTCTTTTAAGTCATTGAGGTTGTGGCTGGAGAGAGCTGCATTGTCTTCAACCTTGGGGATAGACTTTTCTTTGTGTTTTCTCTCTCCACTTTTAGGATTCCGACTGCTGCTGCTGCTGCTGCTTTTGTCACTCTTGTGCCTGTCAGACTTGTGCTTACTGCTGCTGTGGCTGGATTTGTGTGAGGTGTGGGCTTCTTCTTTCTTAATTCTTCTGTTTGTTAACTTAATGGCTTTAAGAACCGCCTTCTCTGTTTTAGGCAGGACGGCAGGAGGTTTTGGCAGACCTGTCTGACTGTCATTTCCACTGCAGGTCGAACCAGATCGCTCACTGGGGACTTTTGAGAGCACACCTTCCAGCCCCCCTTCTTCAGCTATCTCCACTGTGCTTCCCGCTGTGCTGTCCACTTCCTCAGACTGTGGACTTACCCCAGAGAATCTCCCCTCCTGCTCTGGGACCATCAGGAAGGATTGGTCCTGAACCTTGAGTATTTCATTTGGAGGGCTCCTGCTTGTGGGTAGGATTAGCCGAGCAGGAGGTGGCAAATCATCTTCTACTTTGGCAGTATCCAGCGGCCTTGTGGCATCAGCGAGCTCTTTCAGTTCTTCATGTATTTCGGGTGGATCTAATGTTTTATCATCCACCACCAAAGTGTCTGACCCCGTCAAGCTTCCTCTCGGTGACCAGGGCATGATAGACCTTTTCATCTTACTAGTCAAAGTATTGTCTTTTACCCTAAACAACGCCGGGATTGCAAAAGTTGGAGACACAGGGTTGGAAGAAGTCGATGAATTGGATTCGTTTTCTTTCACAATATTCACGCCTTTATCTTCAGTCGCCTTCATCAATTCAACGGCGTCTTTCTCATTAGATTTGATGTGCCTCTTCGGTGGCTGGGGTTCACTTTCATGATCGCTAAAGGAGTAATATTCAACATCGGTTCTGTCTGAATTATGCCTTATTTTGTTGAGCGAACCACTTTCATCCTCGTGCATCTCTCCAGTTAGATTTTCCAAAGAGTTGTAAACATTGGACTCAGTCTCAGTATTTCTATGTAAAGTACTTTCAGCTGAGAAATAGGATGACTTTGATGATAAGCTCGCCTGATCTGGGGGACTCTGGCTAATATTAATCCCATTGATAAGAAGTAATGGAGAAGTGACAGCCAGCGGGGATTCAACCAACTCTACCTCTGGTTTAGATTCTTCTAGACTTGTTCTAGACTTTTCAGACTGCGTTACGACTGAATCTTTGCTGTTTGAAATGCTGAGATGGTCTGGCCTTAGAGGAGCTCTGCGTTTGACTTTGCCTGTTCCTGTGGGAGGACTCTTTCTTTCAGGTAGTATTTCAGCTTGAGGGCTCGGCTGTTTTTGGGTTTCAAGTGCAGTATCTTGTGATAAATAGGATTTTGTCATTTTCTCACCATGTTCAGAGGCTGTATTTAGAAGGGGACCACTTACTAAATCTGATTTTAAAGGCGAATACTTTATATCCTTCATTACTGCATTGCTGGTTGCTGGTTCAGTCTCATGTGCTTTTAGTTTTGCGACACCGTTTTCGTCCTTTTCATCTTTCTTGTTCTTATTAAACTCACTTTTCAGGCTCCTTAGACTCAACTCTGTCTCTTTGCCAACGCTGTCTCTTCTAATACTGCCTTTTCTGCTTCGTGGTGGAACAGGAGGTGCGTCTTGTTTTTTGTCTATATTTTCGTCAGTGGCTCCTTCAGCTTCTGAATTGGCGTTGAGGTAGCTGCTTATGATTTTTTCTATTTTATCGCTTTTGTTTTTCACTATTGAATTGAGCTCGTCAGTCATTTTGTCCATGCCTGGCAGAGCTATGCGGCTGCCTGCCCTGTGCGTCTCTCCGGGCCGTGGCTCAGTCTGGGCCAGGATGTGTCTGATGTTGTTGTGGTCTCTCAGATCATGCAGTCGCTCCTTCAGCTCTGAGGCACTCACTGCGGTTGTTTCACTATCACCTGTTTTAGATATTATCTCCTGATTTTCATCTCCAGCACCTTGCTCAGACTCCTCCTGTCCTGAACATATTTCCTTTTTTCTCTTTCAAATATAATCTCCTCCAGCGCCATTTTGGCTCTGTCATAATTATCGTTAATGAGCGCCTTGTTTACAATAACATTACTGTCTAACTTTGAATATACATCCCCTTTTCCCTGCTCAATTTCTTTCTTAGTGAAAAGTTCTCTTTTGGCCATTGTGTTCCCCCTCATAGACATCATGCCTTTCTTGATATTCCGAAGCTCCCTTGAAATTAAATCATTCCTGGCCTTTGTCTGCTCCACTATGTCAACATCCCCAAATTTGTTCAGGGCATTGTCATAAATCTTCTCAGCGAGCCTTGCTCTTTCTAATTCTTTCAAAGCATTTAAATCACTAATAATGTTGTCGCCATCTTTCTTTTCGAACTCTTCACTGTCTACTCTTGCACTTACCCTCTGGTCACTTTCCGCAGTCTCCACCCTCTTGTCATTGTCCAATACAGCCGACCTTTGATTTTTGATGTAGTTGTTTTGTCGCGCTGAAAAGACATGCTTGAGTTGTCCTTGTTTCTGCGATGCTTCTTTTTTACTTTTGGATTTACCGTCTGCGTTTGAGTTGTCTAAATCGCCTTTAGCGTGACTCTCAGGGTCATCGACAGCCGGATGAATGTCAGATTTAGTAAAGGTTCTTTTGGGCACAGGTGGAGGATCTTTTCTCCTGTCTGCATAAGGATTAAATACTGTACTGTCTTCCATATTGATAATACTTTGAGATCTCGGTACCTGTTCTAGTTTATATTGTACCTCATCTACTTCTCCTGCCGGCTTCATGATAACATCTGGGGCAGTGAGAGCTTTGTGTTTAGTCGCATTAATTGCCTCCCTTGCTGCTTTAATAACATTTGCTGCACTGACAGACTGGGTTAGAGAACTCATTTCCTTCAAACTACCGGGCTCTAAACTGTTCTTTCGCTTCGGCTTCTCTGGAACATCTGGAGGCCTTTTAACCACCTTTTCTCGTAATGATTGATCTTTTTTCTCAGCTGGAGGAAGCGGAAACGTGGGTGAGCGATGTCTGCTTGTATTTGGTGAAAGTCCGCTGGTTTTTGCTTTTGGTAATGGAGAATAGTCTTTGTTGAGTCGAGGTGATGAAAGGTCATTATTTACACTTTCTATGTGCACAGAAGCACCGGGACTCAACGGGACCTTTAGATATTTCACATCACTGTCGACGGGACTTGCCTTTCTATACAGGTTTAGAGACGGGTAGTTTTGCTTCTTAACCTGGGGACTTCTGATCTTTTTCATCTGTAATAAAGGTGACATTGGACTGGCCTCAACCTCTGCTTTACTTTGCAGCAATTGAGTTATTAGGTAATCGTTTGAGAGAGGTCTATCAGCGTCATGCTTTAGTAGGTCATGACTTTGGACATTTATCTCAACATGAGGGCCGCCCACTGTCTCTATGTCTTTCAGGGTGGAAGGAGAGTTCATGCCAGAGGCCAGACCTTCTGAAAACGCTTGCTTTGTGAGATCTGAATACGGAGACACACTTTCAGTCTCTTCAAGCGTTTTAAACTTCCTGGGACTGTATCTGCTTTTCACACGCTTCCTGTTGTCTTTGAGGTTGAAGAGAATACTCGAGGCCAGGGATTTATACGTGTCCCGTTTGAGTGGTGGTTCGGGTGTCACTTTAGCCTCAGACTGGGGCCTTAGAGGAAGTTCTAGGGCGGACGGTGAGAGAACTGCAAGGATTTCTGTTGTGTCTGTCGGTTGTCTCGAGGGAATGATGGGTGTCATCAATTGGCAAATACTAAATGGGGTGGATGCTAACGAATTGGCTTCTTCAACAGTCTTTACTTCTACAGATCGAGCCTCCTTTTTAAACAGTGTAACATTTTCATCCACTTTTCGAAGCAACAAAAGCTTTTCATCAACTTTCTTAAGCAGCATAAGGTTCTCATCCATCTGCTTTATAGTGTCCTGAGTGGATATCGAGGGCTGCGTTGTGGGCAAGGCACTTGTTGCTCTTGACCTGTTGCGCCTCCAGGGGGCAGCAGGTCCATCCCCACCCTCCGACGTGCACCTCTTCTCAGCCGCAGTTACAGAAGGCTTTGGCAGGACCTTTGGAGGTACAGGAGGAGGAATGGGTTTGGGTTCAGTGGGGGCAGGAGGAGGGGGCGCCTCAGTGACCTCTCTCTGGCATGAATGTGTCGGCTCTGAGACTGCGGTGTCTGTCTGCGGTGCCTCTGTCAGCTGCTTGTAAAAAGACAAATCGTACCATTTCGGCTCCGGCTCTTCAGGGAGAATAGAGGAGACGATGGTGTCATGGCCGAAAGAGAAGCGGTTCATGTCGGCCCACGCTTGAAAAGGGCTAAACTCACTGTGCAGGAAAAAGTTCTTTATGTTGAGCTTTTTGAGTTTTACATTTGCTTTGAAATGCGAATTTTTTGATAAGGAATTGTCTTTGCTCTCTTTATTTGTTGAAGGATTTCCGGAGGGGTTTTTATAGTGTCCTTCATAATCGGCAGAGAAATCTGACAGCTCCTTTTGGATGCTGCGCAGCGCTGATTTGTCCCATGATTCTCCGTTTGAATCAGTCACACCGTTTTTCTTGAACATGCCCTCGTAGCTTCCCTCAGTCGCACTCAGGGCCTTGAGGAAAGAAGACATTTGAGACATGGTTTTGTGCTGGTGCTTGTTCCATGGCTGCCCTTCATATTTGTCACTGCGACTCTGCTTCTTGTTTTCTTTAGTCTTTTTGTGAGGTTCTCCTGCCAGAGGCTTGTGGCAGCTGAAAGGTGAGTATCCATATGTGAACTCGTCGTTATAAACAGCGTCGTCTCCGATACAGAGGCTCCTGAAGGCCCGGTCAGTGAGCGTGCTGACCTCGCGGTCCGTCTCATCCATAAACAAATCCGTGAAGCCGTTGGGAAAGCGATGATGAAGCATGGCGCCCATCCGGTGGCTCATGTGACGCTTCTCCACGCAGCTCATCATGTCAGTGTCGACAACTTTCATACATCCGATAGTTTCTCCAAACGTGCTCCAAATGCAACAACTTCTGCAAAGTAAAATATACAAGGTAGATTAGTGTGCAGGAGGGTCTAAGAACAGTGAGGATCCAGGACACTCAACATTTATGGACACATGTCAAGATTGTTTTTTTAATCATTGCATTTCTTTTGTTTGAAGTGTTTGATTCCCTGATGTTTTGGCAAATTCAGTTTTGTGAATTCCTCCAATATAACTACTGTTGTGATTTAGGGCTACACATGAATACATTGAAAACATAGAATTGTGTGACATGGTATGACACATAAAACTGTTGTTTTTAGTGTGACTATAAATGGTTTTGAGCGTTGCTCTGGTGACCTTTATGTACACGGCTGGGGCCAGATTCAGCAATGCTGTCACTATGCAGGCAGCAGACAAACACTTCAAACCATGTGCGTTTCTATTTATAGCACTTTATGATTCTGAAAGCAGTGACTGGCCCCAGAGCAAGACTTCAGATAACTCTGTTTTACCAGAAAGTACGGAAACCTCTGACACATGTTAGAAAAAGACAAATCAGTAAAAAATACACCATGAAGATCCAGGTTGTACATTCATCATCACATGCTGCAAGGTTTGAGTTAAAACATGTTATATTTATATTTAACAGGATATCTGCCTAAAGCAACAGGTCCAAGCATCGAGTGTGTTTCAGGAGCAGCTGTTCTACTGTAGCTCTCTGGGTGAAGTCTGAGAATAGTCCATTAACCCAGATATATTCAGTGACCTGCAGACGCTGGAATATCACTGAAGTCTGAAACAAGCTGACAACATGCTTCACATAAACACTATTTTTCATATTTGAGGATCTTTGTTGAAAATGGAACGAGCACAACATTAAATTAAACAGAAATCTATTAGCAATGTCCTACTTTAATCATTATAAGGAATCAGAAGCTTGAAATCGGCTTCTGATTATATATAGTACAATAAAATAATAATATAATATATATTAAATCATGAATAATCCTTGTTGATTAGAACTTGAATGAAGTTTGGCTGAAATACAGGGACAGAAATACTCCAGTAGTCAAGTCACATTCACAGGAGGATTATTCACTTGGAGAGACAACTGTAGTCTGTATAATCTGTCAATCCAGAACAACTCCAAGCCAACGACGTCAGCTGAGTGCAGTAAATAACGGAGGGACTTTACTGTATGCTGACCATCGTCCCTGGGCAAGTTATCTTGGTACTTCCATAACCGGGGATCAGTTAGCAGCCGCGGTGCTTTCCCAGCCCGCTCTGCATTTTTGTATCCACAGAAATAGGTTTTCTAACTATCTATCATCCTATAAGTTAGATGTAGTGTTTGTTACAGGTTGGTTAAAGTCATTCCATGTTAGAAAAGCTATACTCAAAGTTATCGTAACAGTGTGAACCGCAGAGTTATGACAACTTGTTATTAATGTTTTCCCTGTGATTACACCCAAATCCACTGTCACTGACCCTCACCTTGATTATGGATCTTTCATTGTCCTCTCAAAGGTCCAGGGTGGTCCTACAAGTCCAGGGGGGTCCAGTTATCCATCCAAGTTCAGCTGCTGAAAGTAAATCCACATGTAATGGTAAATCTATGGGTTTGGTTTAGTTTAATGGATCTGAAAGCCAACTCACCAGTGTGAGTCTAGCCTCGGTTCCATCTTCCTGAACGTGTGTCCGCGGCCCTCTCTGCTCGGACCAAAATAGCAGCAGAAGTCAGTGTGGCCAAACTGAGCCGCTCTGGTGCAGTGCTCACTTTGGAATAACCAGTGGTGTCGAGTGGCAGGGCACGACAGGCCAACACGATGAAATGGACACGGTCATTGGTTATTTTGGGCCTTAGACCTGATGGGCTTCCACATGGAGTCTGTCTTCCCGTTCTTGTATTATTACTATTATAAAGATGACTGTTTCATAACCTCCTTGTTGTCAGAGGTGCTGAGGATCCAGCGGTGGCTCATGGGTCAAGTGTAACGCTCTCTGTCCGTGTGGGAACAGTACACAGCTCCAGGGAATCACAGCAACAATCAGAGACTGTGGAAGTCCTGCTTTACCCTTAGACCAAGGTGTGAGCTGGGCCAGTCCAGTTTTAGGACCAAGGCAGCTGCTGTGGACATTATGCTGAAATGTGAGGGATTTCTGCTCAGTGTGTCAGACCTGCACGAGGACAAACAACAAACACAACAACCGTCTGTGTGTGTGTGCGTGTGTGTGTGTGTGTGTGTGTGTGTGTGTGTGTGTGTGTGTGTGTGTGTGTGTGTGTGTGTGTGTGTGTGTGTGTGTGTGTGTGTGTGTGTGTGTATGGAGTTTGTCTGTGTGTGTGTGTGCGTATATTTAGTATGTGTGTGTGTGTGTGTAGTGTGTGTGTGTAGTGTGTGTGCGTGTAGTGCATGTGTGTAGTGTGTGTGTGTGTGTGTGTGTGTGTATGTGGAGATTGTCTGTGTGTGTGTGCGTGTGTGTAGTGCATGTGTAGTGTGTGTGTGTGTGTGTGTGTGCGTAGTGCATGTGTGTAGTGTGTGTGTGGCTGCAGGACCGACAGCCTCATAAACACAGGTATGGGTCCAGCAGCTGAATGGAAACTTTGGAGACAGAGACATACAGCAAATAATGTCTCATTTCTCTTCAAAAGTCAACGAAGAAGAAAAAAAATTACAAATGGGCAGAAATATTATTTGATCTAATGTCAGAATGTTCAATAAGATAAGATAAACTTTACTGATCTCACAGTGGAGAAAAGTCTCTCAGGGTGGGCACGTTAAATGGTTCAAATATAGGTCAAAATCCAGAACCACATGTGTCACTTTACTGTCAACAAACATAAACATACACTGCAAAAAATAAGGTAATAAATGCTTGAATGTTGAAGCTGCAGTACCTGACTTTATTTTTGTGTTCATGAGTTAAATCCAGTCCATATCCGAGCAGTGCATTTGGATAAACGTCCTTTTGAAGAATAAGTGACATTTTGTTTTAGATCGAGTTTTCGTGAAACAAGAAAGAGAATGTGTTTCGGGTCCAGATTGTGACCAATCACAGCGGACCACTGACCCCCACTTACTTGAGAAAAGCCACAGGTCTCTTGTTAGCACATTGAAACCTCCCGTGTCTTTGTTACCGAAGAAAGTCTCTTCCCCTGCGCTTCCCGGTACTATCATTCTATGGTCACGCCACGTTCAAATGTGTCCGTGTGAGACAGGCTGAGTTGGGGGGGGGGGGGTTATAGCTTCGTGAGAGCGGGGAGGGCGAGCAGAAAGAGCGAGGCCAGAGCTCACATTCAAACATTTCAAAAAGTGAGTTAGTGCAGCTTTACTTTGAGCACATTTTGACTGTCTGAAAACATGATTAGTCAAAGGCACAGGAAAAAAGGTCTGATTTGAAAAAGATACATGAGAATTCAAGAAATGTCTCTCTTGTAAAAATTGCAACGCCACTTGAAATAAGACTAAACAGCTTGGTCCCTGTCATGGTGTAGATTTATTTCCTGTTTTATTTTGTAGTTTGTTAAATCCCTGAGTCTTCTTTGGTTGTACTTCCTGTGTGATGACCTGCCCCGCCCTCATGTGTCTCACCTGTGTGTCGTCAGTCTGTATTTAGCCCTGTGTGTTCCTTCACTCCCGGTTCCGTCATTGTCATTCCTCGTCTGCTTTAGTTCTGTCCTTGTTCCTTGTGGTTTTGGATTTGTTTTATCTTTATATTGAACCATTATTTTTTTAGCAGTTTTGCCTTTTGGGCCTCATTTGTCTTTCACCCACGTGACAGTCCCTTTGGGAAATCTTGTTCTTTACATTGTCTTGTCAAAATATACTCAGATTAGGGGGAAATCCAGCATTTAGTACCTCATAGTGTCTTTTTTTGCAGTGTGTGTAGTACTAGAATATACAGTATTTTTAGCTTCTTTGTTATCCTGAAGTTAGAGATTTGTTTGTGTATTTTTGTACAGTGTTTTAGTCTATTCTTGTGCTGTGTTCTCCTCATTCCTACTGTTGTGTTTCCACTGATGCAACACTGACATTTCCTCGCTGTGAGACAAACAAAGCATCTCTTCATCTTAAACGTCACTGAATTAAAAGCCTGTGATAATGTTTGGAGAAAGATTTTGAATAAAAGCAAAGTCATCGTGCATCAGGGCAGAAATCAGATTTTCCTTTTGTCATAGTTTTATAACGAGCAGCGACACAAAAGCCACACACACAGGAAATGGTTTCTCTCACACAGACACACACATTCATCGAGGAGCCATGACCGGGTTCTCTCTCCTTTTGAGCAGATTTGTTCTCTTCTCTGGTAAGTATAGCTTATTATTCACAAACAGTAATCTATAGGTTTCATGCTCGGACCGGTCAGAACCATAATGTGTGTTTTTCAACCCCTGTGCCATGGCCAGTTTGTGTGCCTTGAGATTTGGTCTGATGTGCCTTTGAAAATGATCCAATATCACCTGAATTACATCAAAAAAACTGAAAAACATTGGCAGAAAATAATGTGGGAAAATAGTAAATATGTTTTTTTTCCTCAGTCCATGTTTGGTGATTCAATACACTTGATGATAATGACTTTGCATCGTTAATTAAGTTGTGAAGTTTGTTTATTTATTTATTTATTTATTTGATCGGGACAACGCACATTGATGAACAATCATACACAAGTTGTACACAATTGTAAATGTACCAGATTGTAGCAAAACTGCTAATTTACATCCGTAGTCCCGAGGCAGGTCACACAATAATAATACAAAAGGACAATATACAATTATAGAAATTACAGTTAGTTAAAATGAGTGCAGGACTGATTTACTTTAAAATGGTGTTTTAGTTGATTTTTAAAAGAGCTTTATGTAGGGCATTCTCTTATGTCTGTAGGAAGGTTGTTCCAAGACTGACCTCCTCTGACCTCCTCTGACTGACCTCCTCTGACTGACCTCCTCTGACCTCCTCTGACTGACCTCCTCTGTCTGACCTCCTCTGACCTCCTCTGACCGACCTCCTCTGACCTCCTCTGACTGACCTCCTCTGTCTGACCTCCTCTGACCTCCTCTGACCGACCTCCTCTGACCTCCTCTGACTGACCTCCTCTGACCTCCTCTGACTGACCTCCTCTGTCTGACCTCCTCTGACCTCCTCTGACTGACCTCCTCTGTCTGACCTCCTCTGACCTCCTCTGACCGACCTCCTCTGACCTCCTCTGACTGACCTCCTCTGACCTCCTCTGACTGACCTCCTCTGTCTGACCTCCTCTGACCTCCTCTGACCGACCTCCTCTGACTGACCTCCTCTGACTGACCTCCTCTGACTGACCTCCTCTGACCTCCTCTGACTGACCTCCTCTGACCTCTTCTGACTGACCTCCTCTGACTGACCTCCTCTGACCTCCTCTGACCGACCTCCTCTGACCTCCTCTGACCGACCTCCTCTGACTGACCTCCTCTGACTGACCTCCTCTGACTGACCTCCTCTGTCTGACCTCCTCTGACCTCCTCTGACCGACCTCCTCTGACCTCCACTGACTGACCTCCTCTGACCTCCTCTGACTGACCTCCTCTGACCGACCTCCTCTGACCGACCTCCTCTGACCTCCTCTGTCTGACCTCCTCTGACCTCCTCTGACCTCCACTGACTGACCTCCTCTGACCTCCTCTGACTGACCTCCTCTGACCGACCTCCTCTGACCGACCTCCTCTGACTGACCTCCTCTGACCTCCTCTGACTGACCTCCTCTGACCGACCTCCTCTGACCTCCTCTGACTGACCTCCTCTGACCTCCTCTGACCGCTGACCTCCTCTGACTGACCTCCTCTGACCTCCTCTGACTGACCTCCTCTGACCGACCTCCTCTGACCTCCTCTGACTGACCTCCTCTGACCTCCTCTGACTAACCTCCTCTGTCTGACCTCCTCTGTCTACTGTATCAAAGGCCTTCTTCAAATCTAAAAAGACTGCACCAACACAGGTGTTTTTGTCAAGCATAGATTTGACAGTTTCTACAAAGACACAATTGGCTGTTTCTGTGGAGTGGTTTTGGCGAAAGCCAAACTGCATGGGGTGCAAGGGGGAGTGGCCATGGCTGAGATGTTGGTTGAGCAGCTTAGCTACCCATTTTTCAGCCACTTCGGACACAACTGGGAGTATGCTAATGGGGCGATAATTTGATCTAAGAGTCTTGTCTCCAGATTTAAAAATAGGTGAGACAGTGGCCACCTTCCAGCACGATGGAACAACTCCCTCACTGATTGATAGGTTTATCAAATGAGTGAGCGGACGCACATGTGTGTCTTTATGTGTTTTTAGGAAATGGGTGTCAATTCCGAAAACATCTTTTGCCTTTGAAGATTTAATAGACTTGATAATATTGACTACCTCCCTGTCTGTAATCTTATCAAGTCTAAATACTGGTATTTCCGAATCAAGTGGGTGGTGAGCTGTTCGTGGTGGACCGAACAATTGTTTTATTTCATTGACAGAATCAATAAAGAAGTTATTGATTAAGTTTAATTTTTGTGTGACATTTTCAGCTGAAGGTGTGCAACATCATTTATTTGAATAGATTAAGGGTGCGCCACAGCTCAAAAAGGTTGGAAAAAACTGCCATTGAGGACAAATGATGCCAGAGAGAGACAAATGTGTTCTTGGGTTTCATGGGACAACTCAGTGTTGCTCCCATTGAGAACCATGTACAGTCTGTTGGAGTCAAAGGCTCTCCTCCTGTGCGGTGTACGGTTATCGTAACAGCCTTAATCGGGGACACTCAATTCTAAGGAAGTACTAACAAATATTTCTCAAAAGAGTCTTGATTTCGGGCATTTTTGGAAAGAAAAACGGAAGAAATATCTGCGTTTCATTGGGGTGGCCTGCAGGGGGCGCTTATCTGGGAAAGCCTTGATCCACCTCGCCTCATTCCAGTGTCCTCCTTTATATGAGACCACAGTTGGAACATGAACAAACTCTTGTCTTTCTCTCTGTGTGTGGTTGCTACAAGCGTACACCGCACAAAAAGATGGCATTTTGACAGAGCTTCTTCTTCTACTATATCTCCGTGTATAAACCACTTCTTCTTCTACTATATCTCCGTGTATAAACCACTTCTTCTTCTACTGTATCTCCGTGTATAAACCTCTTCTTCTTCTAGTGTATCTCCGTGTATAATCCGCTTCTTCTTCTACTATATCTCCGTGTATAAACCCGGCAGACTGCAGCGCCAGGATACGTCACATCCTGTTCTACGTTTGTTATTCGCACCACTGCCCTGACGTCAGATGAAACCCAAGAATGCAGTGCCTCTTAAAAGTACTACTACAGCGTAAAGTGCTAAAGTTCAAGGTGTATTAGCACTTTTGAGAGAGGTAGTGTTCATCAGGGCTGCTCTGTTTGTGTCCACAGCAGGGATTGCAAATTGGGATCCATTCATTCATTCATAACTACAGTATGTGTATCCAGGACGCAAGATTGTAATATTCTGAAAAGTCTGTTTTTGTTTTGTTTTTGCTCAAAATCGTCTCGTCTCTGTTCATTATTTCAGATTAAACATCTTGGTAATAATGCAAATCTTCAATTCAAGTGTGAGATTGGGGCATTTTCTTAATCAAAGTAAACTCTTATTGTCAAAATACGTCTAATACGTTTTGTTTTTTGTTGCAGTGCAGTAGAATAATTGGGACAATGATCTATAACACATGCCTGTGAAAACTGGTGATGGAACTCATTTTTATTTTTATTTTTATGTCTCTCCTCCCTCCACCCTCCTCTCTCACCCTCCTCTCTCCATCCTCCTCTCTCCACCCTCCTCTCTCCACCTCCTCCCTCACCCTCCTCTCTCCTCCCTCCTCTCTCACCCTCCTCTCTCCACCCTACCTCTCCACCCCCTCATCTCTCCTCCTCATCCTCACCCTCCTCTCTCACCCTACTCTCTCCTCCCTCCTCTCTCACACCCTCCTCTCTCCACCCTCCTCTCTCCTCCTCCCTCCTCTCTCTCCCACCCTCCTCTCTCCACTCCTCCTCCTCCACCCTCCTCTCTCCACCCTCCTCTCTCCACCTCCTCCCTCACCCTCCTCTCTCCTCCCTCCTCTCTCCACCCTCCTCTCTCCACCCTCCTCTCTCCACCCTCCTCTCTCCACCCTCCTCTCTCCTCCCTCCTCTCTCACCCTCCTCTCTCCACCCTCCTCTCTCCTCCCTCCTCTGGAAGACAGTACAGTACCTTCCTCTCGTCCTTTAATCCCTTATGCAGACAGGAGAAAAGATCCTCCACCTGTGCCCAAAAGAACTCCTTTACTAAATCTGTCATTCATCCGGCTGTCGATGACCCTGAGAGTCACGCTAAAGGCGATTTAGACAACTCAAACGCAGACGGTAAATCCAAAAGTAAAAAAGAAGCATCGCAGAAACAAGGACAACTCAAGCATGTCTTTTCAGCGCGACAAAACAACTACATCAAAAATCAAAGGTCGGCTGTATTGGACAAGGCTCGCTGAGAAGATTTATGACAATGCCCTGAACAAATTTGGGGATGTTGACATAGTGGAGCAGACAAAGGCCAGGAATGATTTAATTTCAAGGGAGCTTCGGAATATCAAGAAAGGCATGATGTCTATGAGGGGGAACACAATGGCCAAAAGAGAACTTTTCACTAAGAAAGAAATTGAGCAGGGAAAAGGGGATGTATATTCAAAGTTAGACAGTAATGTTATTGTAAACAAGGCGCTCATTAACGATAATTATGACAGAGCCAAAATGGCGCTGGAGGAGATTATATTTGAAAGAGAAAAAAGGAAATATGTTCCAGGACAGGAGGAGTCTGAGCAAGGTGCTGGAGATGAAAATCAGGAGATAATATCTAAAACAGGTGATAGTGAAACAACCGCAGTGAGTGCCTCAGAGCTGAAGGAGCGACTGCATGATCTGAGAGACCACAACAACATCAGACACATCCTGGCCCAGACTGAGCCACGGCCCGGAGAGACGCACAGGGCAGGCAGCCGCATAGCTCTGCCAGGCATGGACAAAATGACTGACGAGCTCAATTCAATAGTGAAAAACAAAAGCGATAAAATAGAAAAAATCATAAGCAGCTACCTCAACGCCAATTCAGAAGCTGAAGGAGCCACTGACGAAAATATAGACAAAAAACAAGACGCACCTCCTGTTCCACCACGAAGCAGAAAAGGCAGTATTAGAAGAGACAGCGTTGGCAAAGAGACAGAGTTGAGTCTAAGGAGCCTGAAAAGTGAGTTTAATAAGAACAAGAAAGATGAAAAGGACGAAAACGGTGTCGCAAAACTAAAAGCACATGAGACTGAACCAGCAACCAGCAATGCAGTAATGAAGGATATAAAGTATTCGCCTTTAAAATCAGATTTAGTAAGTGGTCCCCTTCTAAATACAGCCTCTGAACATGGTGAGAAAATGACAAAATCCTATTTATCACAAGATACTGCACTTGAAACCCAAAAACAGCCGAGCCCTCAAGCTGAAATACTACCTGAAAGAAAGAGTCCTCCCACAGGAACAGGCAAAGTCAAACGCAGAGCTCCTCTAAGGCCAGACCATCTCAGCATTTCAAACAGCAAAGATTCAGTCGTAACGCAGTCTGAAAAGTCTAGAACAAGTCTAGAAGAATCTAAACCAGAGGTAGAGTTGGTTGAATCCCCGCTGGCTGTCACTTCTCCATTACTTCTTATCAATGGGATTAATATTAGCCAGAGTCCCCCAGATCAGGCGAGCTTATCATCAAAGTCATCCTATTTCTCAGCTGAAAGTACTTTACATAGAAATACTGAGACTGAGTCCAATGTTTACAACTCTTTGGAAAATCTAACTGGAGAGATGCACGAGGATGAAAGTGGTTCGCTCAACAAAATAAGGCATAATTCAGACAGAACCGATGTTGAATATTACTCCTTTAGCGATCATGAAAGTGAACCCCAGCCACCGAAGAGGCACATCAAATCTAATGAGAAAGACGCCGTTGAATTGATGAAGGCGACTGAAGATAAAGGCGTGAATATTGTGAAAGAAAACGAATCCAATTCATCGACTTCTTCCAACCCTGTGTCTCCAACTTTTGCAATCCCGGCGTTGTTTAGGGTAAAAGACAATACTTTGACTAGTAAGATGAAAAGGTCTATCATGCCCTGGTCACCGAGAGGAAGCTTGACGGGGTCAGACACTTTGGTGGTGGATGATAAAACATTAGATCCACCCGAAATACATGAAGAACTGAAAGAGCTCGCTGATGCCACAAGGCCGCTGGATACTGCCAAAGTAGAAGATGATTTGCCACCTCCTGCTCGGCTAATCCTACCCACAAGCAGGAGCCCTCCAAATGAAATACTCAAGGTTCAGGACCAATCCTTCCTGATGGTCCCAGAGCAGGAGGGGAGATTCTCTGGGGTAAGTCCACAGTCTGAGGAAGTGGACAGCACAGCGGGAAGCACAGTGGAGATAGCTGAAGAAGGGGGGCTGGAAGGTGTGCTCTCAAAAGTCCCCAGTGAGCGATCTGGTTCGACCTGCAGTGGAAATGACAGTCAGACAGGTCTGCCAAAACCTCCTGCCGTCCTGCCTAAAACAGAGAAGGCGGTTCTTAAAGCCATTAAGTTAACAAACAGAAGAATTAAGAAAGAAGAAGCCCACACCTCACACAAATCCAGCCACAGCAGCAGTAAGCACAAGTCTGACAGGCACAAGAGTGACAAAAGCAGCAGCAGCAGCAGCAGTCGGAATCCTAAAAGTGGAGAGAGAAAACACAAAGAAAAGTCTATCCCCAAGGTTGAAGACAATGCAGCTCTCTCCAGCCACAACCTCAATGACTTAAAAGAGATAGAACAACCCGCTCAAAGACAAAGTGTTGAATCTGGAGAAAGCTCGAGGCACAGAGATGGATTTGTTGGTCTCAGTGAGAGGCAGGGGCGCAGCAGTGATCGGAGAGCGAGGGAGAAGCCAGAGCACAGGCACTACAGCAGTGACCGGATCATTAGCAATGTGCCTGTGTACAAGAACTATGCCGGAGACAAGACGAGCTCCGAGAGGCCGTTCCAGCGCTCCATGAGCACTGACAGGTACATGGAGAGCAAAGTGCAACGCAGGCTCAGTGCTGACATGTCTAACTATGACAGAGTGGATCCGAGAAGCCAGAGAATTGAGAAATCGATCGTGGATGAGCTGCAGCAGAGAGGCAGGCAGAAGGAGAGGCAGAGCAAGGAAAACCCGCTGCGAAGGAGCCACAGCATTGACGCCCAGAGCACAGCTGTTCTCCACCCGGCGAACCTGTCTCGTCAGTCCAGCCTCAGCAGCCAGCTCTCACGCCAGTCCAGCATCGAGCACGCCATCGTGGCCTCATCCTTCCCCATCACACAGAGGAAGCTCCTCCAGGATCCAGACTCAGGGCAGTATTTCTTTGTGGACATGCCGGTGCAAGTCAAAACCAAAACCTTCTTTGATCCAGAGACGGGGACGTATGTGCAGCTCCCAGTGCAGCCTCCAGAGGGAGCTATACCACAGCCCTCTCCCATGGAGGTTCTGAGCCCCCCCCTCATGGTGTACCACAGCTTTGTCCCGGTGTCTCTGTCCCCCATGACTCAGGCGGCCCCTGAGCAGCTGATCAGGCATTCTGAGGGCCACCCGTACTTGGAGCCGGTGTTTGGGCAGCACGAGCACGTGTTAGGAGAGTTCTTAGGCACTGAGGAGCTGGACTGCCCAAGCTAATGTTTCAAAGGACACTTATTCAATCAGTTTTGTATATTTTACAAATATTTACCATTTGATACCAGTCGGAGTACACTCAACTAAAACCATCATGTTTTTACTCAAACGTGTGAACGCATTGCTTTGCTTGCTTCAACAGTGGCTCTGTTTTGTGAGATCTGCAATTATCGTGACCTTTTTTATTAGCGTCAAATGTCAATCCTTGAGGAATGATCTGTGTAAGATATTAAGGACATGGATATTCCATGTACATATGTAAAGAGAAGGAAAGTGCTGTTATCTGTATATGTGCTAATTTATTGATGCTCCAATGTGTATTTGCCACCGCTGTGGCCGCGTCGGTGAACTTCACCTTTTTCAGGTATTTGTCTTTGACACTTTTCTTATAAGGTTTTTAGCCTTGGTACTTTTTTTCCACAAAACAGGCTGTTTTGACAAATATACTGGAGGAAGTTGACAATTATGTATTTATTAAGTCAGGTTTGGAAGACATTTTAAAATGTTTGAGATTAACTTCAAATTGAAAGTGCATTTTAGATCAAAAATAAATGAATGGGATTTTGCAATATGTTCTGAAAAGTATGAATTTGGGAATATTTCTGTCGGTTTCTTGCATTGAGTAGATTAAAGCAGGGCTGTTTTTGTGTCTGTGATCCATTCCAATAAAAACAACTGTTGTTACAGAACACTGTTGTCTTTTATTTTACACATATTAAAATCATGAATTTACTTTATTATAAAGGAACCATATGTAACGTGTACCATTAGTGATCTTTTAAAGTCCTCACAATCACACTCTTGTTTCTGGAATCTTCTGCCTGTGACACATGTAGTTCCTCAGCACTGATTACTGAGGTAATCCACCTGCTGGGGTTTAGATTGAACCAGTACAAACAGTGTGTATTACGCATTTCTTATTTTTACATCTGCTTTCAGGCAAACAAATATGTGTTGCTAATTTTTAGTTTATGAATGTTGTTGTGATGGGAGAGCACTGGGAACACCAGGTGGCGCTGTGGAGCGGCTGTAAAGTGCCAGACTGTGGTAGTGTTGCCTCGCTCCTGTCAGTGTGCCCCAGGGCAGCTTTGAGTGTCCACAAAGTGTATGTAAACAAACACAGTATCCATCGGGAACATAGTGTGGATGTGAATTGTATTTTTATTTAGAAGTAATTCCGGATCTAATGAAATGATACACGTGAAAGAAACAAAACGTTTCTTTGGACACATATTTAAGATGAGATGTTATTACATATGGGGCCTTTAACACTATAACTCCCAGAGCAGTCATTTTGACTCCTTTTACTTTTGGAAGTGTAATCTGCACTACTGCTAATGTATTTGATTTATTTATTTGTTTATTTGTTGAGTCATTTCCCAATCTCAAACAGATGATGCAGATCATGTCACATTCACATCATGTACATCTTTGACTTATCTCTTTGTGTAATTTATCTCTATATCATTACTTTTATTATGTTTTATTTTCTAAATATGAACAGTTAGCATTAGCCTTTCCATTGTGTGTACTGTTATATTCACCAGTTTTAGCACTTACCTAAAGTGAGTGAAGGTGAGTGACAGATCTGGGAGTTCTAGTTGTTGCATAATTATAGGAGTACTCGAGTTGAAATATGTACAAAAGCAGAACATAAACTGTAATATTATGATTACTGGCATAAAAAATATTGTCTCATGGTGAATAAATTATCATCTTAAATATACAATATGTACATTCCCGCAGGTACCAGCAGTCACCGCCTGCTCAGCCCACATAGTCCCAGAGTCAAAGTGCAGCGTGTGTCAGTGGCAGGCGCAGCTCAGAGCCACCATGTCGTCGTACTGCTTCAGCACCACGTTCTCGTCGTCGTCGAAGTAGAGCAGGCTGATGGACTGCAGTTTGTCCGGCACACAGCAGGGGGCGCCCACCTCCTCACTGGACAGCTTCAGGGCATGCATGATGGACCGCACCGTGGCGTGGTTAGTGGCCCGGAGGCTGCCCCCCAGAGGGAAGGGACAGGAGCCTCTGCAGTGGTGGGCGTTGTACCCTCTGGGGGAGATGATCCAGCCGGACCAGCCGATCTCCTCGAAGTCCACGAAGAGCGGCACCCGCTGGCAGGTGTGCGCCGCCGTGTGGGGGCCCTCCAGAGCAGCCCGCCGGTGCCTGCTGTGCTGCCGCTGCTGTTCTGAATTTGCCATTGCATCTTTGGCTAAGTCTGGAAAGAGCAGGTTGTTTACGGTGAGTTCGAGTTTGAGGCTGAGAAGGTTCAAAAGTATAAAGAAAAGACAAAAGTGTAAAGAAGCTAGTTCTGCTTAATTACCACATGTTTGGGCTTCTGTCTTTATCAGAGGAGACACGAGATGGTGTGATGTGTCTTTGATCCGCTGTAGTTACTGGACGTCAGACGGACCACGCCCCCCTGTGGTCTCTGGAGAAGTGAGTCCCAAGTTTGCGCCAAGGTGAAGGCCCCCTCGTCTCGGTTGATGGTCCGTGTGTCCAGCTTCCTGATCTCAATTGCCTCTTGTCTCCAGCTTTTGGATTTATGGCTTTCACCTTGGCTAATACAAGGTACTCACTTCCATGACCACAGCGCGGCGGGGGCATGGTTAGTCTAAGGGGGGGCAGGATCAGTCTGACAGATCACCTCCGGTAACAACAGCTGATCAGAGACACGTCACACTTTCACACATCTTCTCCATTTCTGGGAGGAAGGTGGAAGTCTTCCGCAGAAGCAGAACTAGCTTCTTAAAACCTTTGTCTTATTAAAAGAACCTTCTGAACCCTAAACATAAAATAAGACATACAGTATCATTATATGACTTGGACCGTACGCGCGCTCTGATTGGTTGATTACCGGTCTGATATTTTCCCATCTCGGACCGTTACCATGACAATCTGTCCGCAGCGAGTATCACACAAAACCAAGTTGGACATTGGTAAAGACACAGACAAGAGTCATATAATAAAACATTTATTAACCTTGCTTGCTCGGTCTGTGCAGAGAAATATTAGACCTTGGCCTTTTTGCATTAAGGCCGCGGTCTGATGTTTCTCCATACAGACCTCGCGCTCGGTTAATAAGATGTTAATATTCTTTTTACATTCATTGAGTTCATGTAAAGTTATAAATGTGTAATATTTTTGATAGAAGAGTTTCCTGTTACCTAAGTATGACTTGTGGATGGCATCGCCGGGGCCCTCGTCTGAGAATATGACCAGATAACGTTGGTCTCGGGCCCCTGAGGGTGGTCCTTGAGGGAGGAGCCCACAGATGGATCCATCCAGTCTCCAGTGGGGAACGTGGTCACCACCAAGATGCCATTGTTCTCCTCACTGTTGCTGATCCATTTGGACACCTGTCAATCAAAACCAAACACAGAAGATGATGCAGCGACACACAATAAAGCACTTGGATTGTTCTTCCATCTCACAGGGAGAATTGTTTCTGTACTTTTAGCTCACTTTAACGAAATCTCCCAGGGGCTAATTGCATTTTAATGGCAGGAACAATCTAATAATGAATTTTTAATGTACAATTTTGCATTTTTTTTGAAAGAGCGACCTTCACAGGCAATGCATTCTGGGATGTTGCAGATTTGCAACATTGGCCCGCTGTGATAAATAGAGCTGAGGAGATATAATCTATGAATTGGCATGTACTGAATCTATATATATTCATCTTTCAGTGTGTGCTGTTTTGGTTCCAAATTATTGGAGATTGGTAGTGATTCATACATCCAGCCATTTTCTTCCCCTTAATCCCTTTCTGGATTGGGGGGGTGGCAGTCAGAGCTGCACCCAGTACACACAGCACCAACCCCGCACTGATCCTCGTGCAGGTGCTGAGTCCACAGGAGCCTTGATCTTTCGGCGGGGGTTTCAGGCAAAGTGGGGTTAAGTGTCTTGCCCAAGGACACAACGACAGCAGACATCAGTGGGAGTCGTGAAAAAGGTCTCATGGTGGGCTTGAACCCATAGCCTTTAGGCTCAAAGGCCAACGCTCTAACTGAGCCGCTGTCATTGTATATTGCCTTTCACAGACCAGTGCATCTACAGCAGAGTTTATAGCAGAACAGTGACCTACCACTTGGGTGACGTTGAAGACCTCCCAGCCCTGTGTGTACAGAGGCAGCAGTCTGGTGCTGATCAGGTTTCCTCTCCACGGCTTCACTCTGCTGTCCAGAACCTCGTACAGATCCACCTGAGCAGGAGCACAGCGGGTCAGAACAACAGACTTTCAGCTGTTTAGGTTTCACTGCATAACACATGTCTGCTGTGTTTACCTTGTAGAAATGCGGCCCGTGTGCTTTGCCCATGAACAACTTTTGCTTCTTCCTAAACCAACGGAATTCAGCTTTATTCATCCTTTCATCTTTGCCGAAAGACGAGAGATTGAAAAAGTGAAATCTCTCGCCAGCATGACCTGTGGAGGAACAACAAACTGTTTTAGGATTTTTGTGTTTGTTAGTCCCTTGTTTTGTCCTTGCTGTTGTTTTTTTCTGTTGTGGTTGTGTTCCTGTTGTTTGTCTTGGTTTTTATTGTCCTTATTTAAAAAAAAGAAAGACGGAAAATAAAAAAGGAGAATTGAAAATCTACCTTTCTCTTTTTTGATTTTGTTATAGGTATGTTTTGTATGATTATAACAACTGTGATGCTCTTGAAATTAATATATAAATAAAATAAAAATCTCTTCTTTGATTGTGATTTCACAAAACTCTTTCGACAAACATGAACTGGTTTGAAATCGAAATGAATAAAATTACTTATATACAATTGAAGAAAGTACTTTTTAGGAACAAGAATCGTCTAAAGATGTATACACGTGTAATATCATCATAATTCTCACAAAAAAACAATTGTCAGAACATTTCCATCCTTCATGACATTTCTCATCAAATATTTAGAAAATGTTTGTGATGAAGCCTCAGAATACTTACTGTGATTTGCCTCTACTGTTTTCTTTTATTATATTATTTATTATTTTATTGTAACTTGTTTGTATAAAACAATTATTAATAATAATTATATATCTGTATTTGTTTGGCACGAAACAGTGTTTACAAAGCACTGCACAGTCACATATATTGAATATTCAAAAGCAGTCATAGTGAAAATACAGGAGAATAAAGCAGACAGGCACACAACAGAAAGACAAAACAAACATGTGGAGCAGGAAAAAACAAGTTGGAGACAGTCATGGGCTGTGAGATAAAAGTGGGTCTTAAGAAGTGTTGCAATAATAATAATAATAATAATAATAATAATAATGATAAGTACGTGTTACCTTTATCCTCAAAGCTGCGGACGATGTTTCCATCCAGAATGTCCTTCTGGTTCCTGGGGGCCCCCTTCTCACGGGACACAGCGTTAAACAGATCCAGCATGAACTGCGGCGCTTTCTTATGCGGTGCAGAGACGGGACCCCGCGGTAAATCCTTCAGGGGCCCGAGGCCGCGCACAGGGGCCGGCACTGAGCACACCTGCAGCGGCAGCAGCAGCAGCATCAGGGGCATCAGGCGCGGGGCTCTGGCTGTCATCCTCCTCCAGCTCCGGGAGGACTGAGACTGAGACTGAGTGAGACTGAGACTGAGACTGGAGCGGAGCGCGGCGGTGATAAGCGCACGGGGCCTTTGATGACAGCGCGGCCTTATTGGCCTCATTCACACAGGCGCAGATTATTGCTGTTGATTGATGAAGGACCCAAGCCCACACAAAAGGAGGCGCAAACGAGCTGCGGCTCAAACACACAATCAACAACTCATTTTGTATAAGCCCAGCCCTGTCATGACACATTACTGCTAACAAGGAGGGCAAACATGAATATAAAATAATAATTATAACAATACATTATCTTTCCTTGACACATATCAAATAATAATTATTATTTTAAGACAATACATTATGAATAATACTGACATAATAATAACAATGACACCAATAATAATAATATTTGTTTATTCTATGAAATGATTTGAGCCTCGGTTGAAGTCAATCTAAGACACTTTAGTTATGTCTGAATATGAATTGAAACTTGACACAGTTAGCAAAGTGATGATTGTGTTACTGCAGCCTGCGCTTCCAGCCTCATGTTTATGCTACTGTCATGTCTGCAAAAGCCTGTGAGAGCTAATAAATCCTCTTTAGGCTTCTCTCCGTGTGGCATCATGATGTTTGGGCCGAGAGTCCACATCTGTCCACATCTGTCCTGTTATCAGCCTGAGCGCAGCGGCCGAGAGCAAACCTCACCCCGGCCTGTGACGCACATGCTGAGGCACGAGAGCGCGCGGAGTCCCCGGTCTCTCCCCCCTCTCCCCTCTCTCTCCTCACCCCCCGCGGGGCCCTGTTTGCTCAGTGACTCACAGTTAACACCCGCATCTACCCACACGTGTATTCGCGCGTCAACACGATCCGAGATGATCCCTAATTAATCACAAACACAAAAGGAGCACATTCTGGAGCTCGTTACGCTGATCAATAGCCCACTCTCTGTCCATATTGTTAATCTAATTTACAGCCATTACGCACGGACGATGATCCCTTCAGCGTGGTGGCTGAGGGTGTGCGCATGCGTACAGGCGAGGATTTATGTCACACACAAACAGAAATGTTAGGGTTATTCTGGAATGAATAAAGTACCGTTTTGGTGATAAAGTGGCTTTATGGGCTAGAAGGTAAAGGTTTATATGTGGACCAGAGGCTGGGGTCTTTTTAAGTGACGCAAATTGTTTCATAAAAGGCTCTATCTGCATTTCGTCTGAAACAAACCTGTAAAGCTTAGAATAAAACTTCCAGGTTACTCTAGTTCATGGGTATCAAAGTCAAGGCCCGAGGGCCGGATCTGGCCTGCAAATGAATTATCTTGGCCCCAGGGATGATTTTTGATAAGAACCGGCCCGAGCACACAGTTACCCTAACCCTAACTTCTGGATTGTTAATTTAATGTTCAGGACGTGTGTTTTCACTCTGAAGAAAGTTTGATTCTGTTTGTGAGCCTGTTGAAAAAGAAGTTTACACCTGAAAGTACCGGGAGAGTCATACAAAAATATTGGACTATTAATTTAATCAGTCTTGGTTCGATGGTGATATTCAATCATTTTAATATGTTTTATTAAACATTAAACCAGTCCAGCCCACGGCTTGTAGCAAATTTGTTTTTTTGGTCTATGATAAAATAATATAATATAAGATCAACTTCCCAAGGAAAATTTGCTATTTGACAGGTTCGCACCATGGATGTCCCGAATATGATCTGAAGTGACTCTGGGTCTTCCGGTGGGCAGTGGTTCTTCTTTATGGATATATTATCTGGATGTAGCTCAAGGCGGGCTCGACATGATGGTGGACCCAGAGGGGGCGGGGCTCCGAAGGATCCGTGAGCATGTGCGCTGACAAACTTGTATCTAGGTTCTTCTGTACCAGATATTATAAGGGGACGTGCCTTTCTCAGCTGACAAAGGCATGTCATGTGTGACGTTGCAAGATGCTTCTGAGGAAGACGGAAGTATCCATCGAAACATGTCACGGTCATTTCATCAAAAAACCTTATATTGTGTGCTGCAGAAGAACCTAATACTTTTAATTGTGCTGAGATGTCGAGAGGAACCTTCCTAAACTATGCTTGTATCTGACTCTTTGCCAGCGGGGTGGACCCACGGACTGTAAATAATAACAGATGTAGTCACGCCTATCTACGCTGTTGAAACTGATGTCCCTCCGGTTTGGTGCCATTGGCTCTGAGGGACTTTTCAAAATGGCCGAGGGGCAGGAAAATGGAAAAATGCATTTGCGCTTATGTTTTTGCCGCCGCTAGCATTGACACACATTTGGAACGTAGTATTGGGCCAAGAACCGACTTTTGGACCATACTGTAAAGACATTTTTGAAAGGAAAGAAGACGCCATACAAAAGCATTGGGTAATTCTCTTTCCGGGTACACCCCCTTCGGCTTGGAGTCAGCGCACATGCTCATGGACCTTTTTGGACTGGTCCCCCCCACACGGAAACAAAACTATCAGAATCATTCTTATGGCGCTTTTTTCCTCTCAAAAACGTCTTCACAGGATGGTCCAAAAGTCCAGATCCTGTCAATGATGAGGCGAGTGTTTTATTTGGACCGGCCTAGTTTAGCCGCTGTGGACTTTTGGATGAACTCCTTTTTTCTACCATATGTCAGGTCCGTGCAGCAAACACATGCACAAGTGTTTTTCACAAGTTTTTTTCGCCATTTTCCTGCACTTTGAACCAGAGCAGAGGAAATGGTCTGAACCAAACAGACTCTGCTGCTGGGACCACTTTATCACTGTTGTTTGTAACTTTTAGAATGACGTGTTTATGTGTTTGTCTGGATGAATGTGAATCGGCTGTTGGACACCTGTATTTACAGAGATCAATAGAGAATCTGTGTTTCTCTGTTTGCATTTTTTGAGCCGAGCCCTGATAATCCACAAGTCACTTCACCTGCCGCTGTTATTACTATTGTTTACTCTGATTGTATTCTCTGCTGCTAACGATCGATATAAACATCTGTAAATACCTCCTGATGCTGCTGACATGGCAGGAGACTCTACAGCCAAGTGACATTTAGCTCCAGAGTTTTGTTGTTGTTGTTGTGTCGATCACATACATATGTTATGTTCATCACATCATGTACACAACATTGTTTCTCTTATTTTACACAATATTTTTCCCTTTCCCTTTTTCCTGTGTGTCCCTTGTGCACCAAAATAATCCAAAGTAAAATTAGATAAAAATACAAAAATGAAAATAAAAGGACTTTACCTAGGGTTGCTAGATGGAGGAAATGGTTGTGGAGTTTCTGTCATGGTGTGGATTGTTATTTTGGACTTTTATTTTGATATCTGTTCTCTGTGCTTTGGTTTTAGTTTGACTTTGACGTCCTGTTTCCCCTGTGTTGATTGTCTGCCCCGCCCTAATGTGTTTCACCTGTGTCTCTGTCTGTCTCTCCTCTTGTTGCTGGTCCATTGTATTGTCAACTTCTGTTCCTGATTTTGTGTTCCTGGTTCTGTATTTTGGATTTTGAGTTTAGTTTTCACCTGATCTTTTATTTCATTAAACCATTATTTTTGGCATTCCTGCATTTTGAGTCCTCCATCTCACCACGTGACAGTTTCAGGCTTTCTTTGAACACCACATGACTATTGTGCTTGGATATAGGCTCCATCTTCAGGTACTCTTCAGGTAGGACAACAGAAGAGATGGTGCCCCCCTGTCCTGGTCTTTCTCCAGAGTTTTATCATCTCATCATTTTATTATCTAATTTAATCATTTCAATAATAGATCCTGTTTGTTGTGTCCATAACCAGAGTCTTATGTTCTCCTTCATCCTGCTGTAATGTGCAGCTACTGTATGACGTTAAAATAGGGCAGAATAAAGTTTTATCTAATCTTATATTCACACATTCTGTTGTGGATGAGCCTTTCTCTGACGCTGGTCTTGTTGGAGCAGTTCTCTCCAAAGGCCAGCAGGCGGCGCTGTTGCCTCATTGTGAACTCTCTCGGTTGGTTTTCAGCTTTTTATTTTTTTTCTAGAACTCCCAATATTCTGAAAAGACTTCTTCTCATAAAAAAGTAAGTTTAAAACAATTATTTTTGTTTAAAACCATAGAAATAAAGTTTGGATACAGAAAAACTCATGCTTCCAGAACTAAAAGCCGTCAAATTGACTGCTGAGTTCGTGTTAATGATTGAGTAAAATAAACTAATCCAATACTCGATTACGGTATAAACTGATGCTTTTTTTTCTTCTTTTTGTTCAGATATGTATATTTTTACACAACTTTGTATGACATTACATTTCCCGTGTTTGAAAGGCTTGATTCTCTGATCTGTGTTGGTGAATCGACAACTGTGTAAAGTCCTTTGAGAGAACGGAAAACTCGTTGGTTTAAATAGTATCACTGATCCAAATATACAGGTGAAATATGGTTCAAAAGTTCATTTATGTCTGTATTTCAACAAACAAAGTGAAACTATCCAGAGAAACACGCCTTTGTTCACCATCGTTCATATTTACGGTTCATTTTCAAGAACAGTTCAGTGTTTGGCGTCTTTGAAAAGTGTGAGTTGCATACATTAGTTTCACATTGCATTCCAGAAGTAAACAGACTTTTGAATAGGGCTGGGAGATATAAACGGAATAAGCAGTATGCAATATGAATTTGGCCAACGATAGAGATTTTTGTCGTACCGAACACCGGCATATCGCGATAGGTCATTATGTCATCAAACCCTCTCCTCCATGCTGGGTACTCTGTTGGGCCCCGGTGGGACTTTAAGTTTATCCGGCGCCGGTTGGCTAAAGCTAGCAACCCTACCCACTAACCACAGGGTCGGCACTAGATCATATATGGAATCGGGACGAAACCGGAAGTAACAATCCTACTTTCAAATTGAGAGACTAATTAAGATTAATTTGAGACTAATTCGTCCTTAAATGGTGACTGGTTAAGGATGAGTTGGGGTTATTTTATGGGAATGGCTGGTTAAGTTTAGGCATGAATAGGTAGTTTGTTATTTT